CCTTTTGAAGTTCGGAGTCAGGACTGTCCTGATGCGACCTGCCTAGTCCGTGGGACAGACCGTTCATAATCATCACCACATGGACTATCCCGATGACCTTGTTCGCAAGATCGTCAGTGCATTTCGTCCAGTTTAGTCTTTGAGGCTTGACTTACGCCTGCAGAAAAAGCAGCCCAGTCATCCATTCCCAACGGCCCATTCATGGTGAGTATCATATAGAGACGGATCAAACACACAATGACCATCCATGACATGAACAATGTGGCTGCAATCGCAATTGATCCGGACTTATCCGTTGCTGTTACCACGAAGGGCGCGTCACCCGTCATATTGGGCATCTTCTATCGAGGAGAAGAAACGCAGACGGCAGATCTCTAAAGAGGTTGAATGAGCAAAAAGCGACATGATGATAAAGGCAGCTTCGGTTTCTCCAGTTGCAAGGATGTTATTCATTCGAGAATGAGTGTTCTCGGGTTTGGATAAGATGGACAGGGTTGGAAACGAGGCCTGACTCGGAGCTATTCCTTGAACAGGAGACGTAACATGAGTTAATAATCGCCTGGAGCAATACTTGAGTGATCGGCCTTTTTTGTACTGAAAAAGGCCCTCTAAAGGACGCACCTAGAATGAAAAGGGCATGGGCTTAAGACAAGGCGTGGAGCCGTCACAACGCCGCCCCAGAGACTAGGCAGGGCTTCAGCCAACGCTTAGCTGACATTATATTAAATAGACGTTGCATGTGCAATTAAACGCCTCAGATAGGAGAGAGCACAAGCAGGACCCCTGAAAGCTGCTGGACGAGAGTAGGACCCGCATTCGACTCGGGGCGGCTTGATATTACGACGAGCATCATACCCTTGCTTAGCATAATTAAGTGCGGTGATGACAACTTGTACACCATGGTGGCTCGACCAATTCTGCCCCGACACCTAGCGCCCCTGAGCAATCCTCTATTTTCTATTCTCTCTCTAACATCCTCAACTGCCATTTGCGATTCTTCTGTTTGTTGGTTGAATTCAGTCGGGATTGGTTGCCTATCGAATCAGGATGTGGGCGGAAAATAAGTCAGTGGTCTATACCACTGCCCATGAAGATGAGGTGTCTGGAAAGACTGGAACAGCGCAGGATCGCAAGGATATGCGGCGAGTGGGAAGGCAGCAGGAATTGAATGTATGGTACAACATCGAACAGCACTGCAATGTTGGCTAAACCCAAGGTAGCGCAATTTCCGATTTCTGTCAGTTTTGGGGTTTACGGCAGTGTTGATGTGTACCTGGGAAGCAGTCCTTTTGTGTGTTTCTCCCTTGTCTGCTCTGAAACGTGGGATGGGCAGAATACTGATTGAAATAGTGGTGCGTCCTATGGCTTGATAAATGGCGGCAAGGGAGGCATGATATACACCTATTTAGGAGGTCTCACCGGGTTCAGCTTTGTCATCCTCTCCATGGCTGAAATGGCATCCATGTATTTATTCGCCTTACAACGATTCTCGTCCGCAGACGCTCAGCTAATGGACTAATAGGGCCCCAACCTGCGGCGGCCAATATCACTGGGTATCCGAATTTGCACCTCCCAGTTGCCAGTGCATATTGAGCTACATAACTGGCTGGGTCTGTGTGCTTGGATGGCACACTGGAATCGCCGGATGTTGCTATACCGTCGCGAATATGATGGTCGGAGTGGTTGCCATCAATTACCCCGATACCTATACCTACGAGCCATGGCATGTCACCCTGCTGGTCATTGCAGTGGCACTGGTTGCTTTACTGTTCAACACCCTGCTGGCGCAGAAACTGCCCCTGATCGAAGGGATCATCCTGGTCATCCATTGCTTTGGATTCTTTGGCATTTTGATTCCTCTTTGGGTGCTCTCGCCGAGACCGGCCGCATCTGAAGTTTTTGGATCCATTGAAGATCGAGGCGGCTGGGGAAATAACGGTCTTGCTTGTCTGGTTGGGTTGGTCGGACCGATTTATGCCTTGATAGGTACGTTCGAATATCCCCGAGATACCGGGAGTGTGATCTGCTGACAATAAGCACAACCAAAGGTCCCGACTCAGCCGTCCACATGTGTAGGTCTATTCCCGAACCCTGACAGATTAGTGGCAACTGATGTGATGAATAGCCGAAGAGATCCGTGACGCATCCAGAGTCCTGCCCATTGGCATGATCTGGACTCTTATCCTCAACGGATCTACAGGATTCGTCATGATCGTCACACTCGCCTTCTGCGTTGGGGATATTGACCATGTGTTGGAATCCTAGACGGGCTTTGCATTCATCCAAGTCTTCCTCAACTCGACAGGATCCGTCAGAGCTGCCACTGGGATGACGGTGGTCATCATGGCCATGCAGTTCTGCGCTGCCATCAATAATGTTGCCACCACATCTCGTCAGGTCTATGCGTTTGCGCGGGACAAGGGGCTTCCCTTCTCCAACTTCCTGTCAAAGGTCGGCTTATTTCCCAGCGGCTGATGGATGGTGTTAATGACAACTCGCAGGTCAACCCGACTTTCACCGTTCCCTTGAATGCACTATGCGTGAGCTTGGTCATTGTTTCCCTTCTCTCCCTGATCAATATTGGATCGTCCGTGGCGTTCAATGCCATCATGTCTCTAGGCACGGCGGCTCTCCTTTCCTCGTACATCATCTCCATCACCTGCGTTCGAATCCGTCGCTGGCGCAAGCAGCCATTACCTTCCGCCCGCTGGAGCATGGGAAGATTTACTCCCTTTGTCGACACCGTCTCCATCCTGGTGTTGATCGTCATTTGGGTCTTTAGCTTCTTCCCTCTAACCGCGCAGGTCAATCCGACTACAATGAACTGGAGCGTTGCGATCTTCGGAGGCGTCATTCTCCTCTCTCTGGTCTATTACCAGTTACATGCAAAAAAGGTATACAAAGGGCCGGTGACAAGAGTGAATGTGATGGCCGAATGATGATCCTAAGGCCAAGTATGAACTATGAAATTTTATGCCTGCCCTCACCATAGGTTTATTGAGATGCATAGTGAATGGATCCGATCTCAATCGCACTCTGGTCTTACTCTGTGTACTCAGGATCAGATGGACAATAACCTTTGGTCAGTAATTCTGGCTATTTAATAAAATTGTCGACAAGAATTCGTAAACAACGCTATGGAGGATTACGCAGTGTCGGAGAGAGTACCTCTGTTAGTGCCTGAGGCAGCGAGTTTTGTTGCGTGGGCACGTGCTCTTCTCGTGTGGGCGCCGTTGTGCAATTTCCCGAATCCCGACTCGACTGCTGCCAGGATCAACTGGCAGAATTATCGTTCAGCTCTCAACCATCCGTGATCCATCATCTTGCCCTTCAATGACTGGTAGAAGTCCCACTGACACGCCTCGGAGCTTTCGTTTGCCTCGCAGACGCGATGGCTGCTCCGAATGCCGACGCAAAAAAGTGAAAGTATTTCCACACTGACTCCCCTCAATTGGTCGCTCTCGCTCATCTCTTACAATAGTGTGACCTCCGGAGGCCAGTGTGCTCTAGATGCATCCGATTCCCGAAAGAGTGCAAGTATGACTCTAGCTTTGTCGTTGTTCGGAGTCACTGTAGAAAATCATCTCCGGTGCGTGGCAAGTTGAGAAACCCATCAGCAACCGAACGGAGCGTCATACCGCTCCGAGCATCGCTCAATCCACTGGAGTGTCTGACACCTGACGACTGTCACTTTTTCATCCATCACTTTGCTACTCAGACCATTCGAGTTCTTTTCCCTCTTGCCCCGCCAGTCTTTGGTCAGACGCTGGTGGCCACGGCGGTGGAAACGCCGCACCTTCTGCACGCACTTCTCGCAGCTTCGTGCAGTCATTATGCTCGGCTTGTCCAGGAACCGTCAGCTAGTCAGCTGACAATCTTAAAATTTACGGACCTCGCAGTTACGGGTCTCCGTGGTGCCCTGGCTGATCCTGCCGAAACTCTCAAGCCTGAGACCGCCATGACAGCGATGGTTTTATGTACCAATGATGTGTGTAATGGCAACGCTCGGACTTGGAAGGTTCATTTGTCTGGAGTAATGCAATTACTTACGGCCTTGATTGAGAGGCAGAGGGCATTTGAAGGTGAAGTTGACCCGTTTTCTTTATGCCTTCTCAAGTGGTTCGCTACTCTCGACATCCTAGCGGGCCTCTCAGGTACACATGAAGGATGTGTCAACGATGGGCAGTACTGGAACCTGACCCGGAGTTCCAACTGTGGTATTGGCCAAGTTGATGAGATCTGCGGCTACTCAACCCAGCTAATGCCTCTGCTGGCGCGAATCGGACAGTTGGCGCGGCGGAACGTGCATGAACAGTCAATATTAGAAGCCTTCACTGAGCCATCCTCTACCCTTTCCGAGGAATTGACAGATGAAGCGCAGGACCTCGAGAGGAAAATACTCTCCATTGCCAACCAGGCTCCGTCGGCCGCCACACTGGCGTCCTATGATCAAGTTCTCGCATCCGAACTGCACAACACACATCTCACCTTCATCCACTCCGCACTTTTGCACCTCTATCGTCGAGTCGAATTGCTCCCGAAAAGTCATCCCAAGGTCAGGGCGCAGGTTGCGGCCATTCTCGACAACGTTCAGGCAATCAGACCATTCTCCCCGGCAAATGTCCTCATCCTGTGGCCCATTTTCAGCGCCGGTTGTGAGACCGATGAGCTTCGAGAACGCCAAGCTATCCAAGCAAGGATGGTGAATATGCAGACCATGGGTATGGGGAACTTTACCAGAGCAAGGGATGCTCTTGCTCGTTATTGGGAGTTGGGCGCATCCTCGCGCTGGGACATCTACTTTGCACAGTCTGGGCTGGAACTTGTTCTCTTTTGAACACACTCTATACTCCCTTCGTCTCAGCATCTCATTGGTAAACCATGGCGGATATTATTTTCTGTGACATCGTGATGATTTCACTACTTGATGCAAGTACATAGATTTTGTCGTTCTTGTTGCGCCCTAAAGTTGCAGTTTCATCTTTCTACTTTACTGCTCCTCAAACGGCCACTGGCAGAGAGTGATAGGCGTCAGCCATGAATTTCCGCAACGCTCCCAGACCGTCAATCAAAACCTGACGCTCACACACATAGCCAATGCGGGCATAGCCCTTAAAGTTTGTGTCTTCTCCGAAGCACCTGCTGCCTGGCACGAACATCACTCCACACTCCTCTTGCAAACGCTTGCAGAACTCCACATCATCAGTTGCAAGGTTGTCCTTATTCACGAACTTGATGAACGCTGTGGTGCCCGCATGTGGTCGGACCCATCGCGCAGCCCAGGCGAATTCCTTGATGAAGCCATCGAGGAGATCTAGATTGCCTCTTGCCAGGTCGAGGTTACGCTTGACAATATCACTCACAGTGGGCTCTGACAATGCGCATGCAGCAATCTGGTCATCGATCTGGCTGACCGAAATCAAAGTGTAGTCGCGGGCTGTCGCGCACTGCTCTATGATTTTCCGGCTTCTGGACGCAATCCAGCCCAGTCTAATCCCGGCCAAACTGAAAGCCTTGCTCATTGAGCTAGTGGCAACGGTCTTCTCATAATTGAAGGAGAGAATGGAAGGCGGCTCTTCCTGCCCGTCCTGCAGGGAGTGGAACAGCGGCCGGTACACCTCATCACTATGAATGATGATGCCATGCTGGCGCGCAATATCTACAATCTCCTCCAGCACATCGCGGCTCAGAACAGCTCCGGTCGGGTTCTGAGGGTTGCTGTGAATTTGTCAGGTCCACATTTCACTTCACATCAAAATAACTTGATGGCTGCTAGAGTATCCGTACTCACTTAATGATGATGACCTTGGTATTTGGTCTGATCAGTGATCTCAGATCGTCCAAGTTGACCCGCCATCCGTTCTGCTCGTCTGCCCTCCAAAGGCTGACCTCAGCGCCGAAGGACTCGGGAACGGAGTAGAGCTGCTGGTAGGTGGGATAGTGGCAGATGACATGGTCACCCCGAGCAACATTGGTATATAGAGCTAGAAAGTTGGCCTGGATAGCGCCATTGGTGACAAGGATGTTGTCTTTTGATAATGGCTCGGATTCCTCGTCGCGGTAGAGGTTGGCGATGTTTGAGCGCAAGGCATCACTGCCCCGGATTGCCCCATAGGTTTGCTTCTGGGAGAAGTCGATAAGGCTAGCTCTGTCCTTGTTCCCCGCGAGGGCCAGAATATCGTTGAGTGAGACGGAAGCACAGCAAGTCTCAGCGAGATTGTGAGTTGCCCATGTTTCATGCTCGTCCATCCACTGTGAAAGTCAGTCCTCAACTCATGCAACTAACAGTAATCTACTTGCCTTTTCCACAGCAAACTCTTTGATGTGTCCCATTGTGTTGCTATCTTATACGGGTTATGAATCACAATTGAGAGTGAACGAAGAAAAAGGAGCAAGAGAAGAAGCAAAGAAGAATTTATATATAAGCCGCTGCCAAAGTCAAGAACTCAAAAGGACATGCGGAGACCCATGGTTTGGTGCCTTCCGTCGGATCCATTGCTTGGCATGCCGTGATTGGTTGAGTCGCCTTGATTACCCAAAACGGAAACCATGTATCCCCACGCTAAGTCAGAGTCAATCCCAACTCGTTAGCAGTGTATAAAATGCGTCAGGGCCGTCGTTGATCTCCGTACTCAACAAGGTTCTGCTTTCTCATTGTGCTTCCATGTCTCCAACCCCTTGTATCGATTTGCTGAAAGGGTCGCCAGCCACGGCTCTTTTTCCCACCCAGCGCCTAAGTGATGCTGCAGTATCGGCTTTGTCGAAGCCGGATGTGACAGTAACCGGCTTGGACTATGGGCCGGACGAAGGTCACTTACCGCTCAGGACTCACCTTGCCGAGTGGCTGACGGAATACTACAAACCCTCTCAGCCGATTCAAGCGGATCGGATCTGCATAACCGGAGGAGCGAGCCAGAACTTGTCGAGTATCCTCCAAGTCTTCACTGATCCATCGCAAACAAGGTACATATGGATGCCACAGGCGTCTTACCATCTTGGATTCAGGATTTTTGATGACGCAGGGTTCTACCGGAGGTTAAGGGCTGTTCCTGAAGATGGGGAGGGGATGGACGTGGGGTTTCTTGAACGCGCTCTCGCTAATGACGAGGCAGTTGCAGAGAGGGTGAGCCGAAGAAACCTTTTCAGAAACTACCATAGCTAAATTTTACATAGGGAGAAGGATGCAAGCGTCCGGAACACTACAGGAAGATATTCAAACACGTCATTTACTGCGTGCCCAACTTCTCCAATCCCACAGGCGTCACCATGTCACTTAGGAGGCGAGAGACTCTTGTCCGCCTAGCTCGCAAGTTCAATGCTCTAGTAATTTGCGACGACGTCTACGACTTTCTGCACTGGTCTGTCGCTCATTCACCAGATCATGGAAATTCATGGGGTTCCGTCCTCCCCCGCGTCCTGGATCTGGATCGGACGCTTGATGGTGGACCAAGGGATAGCTTCGGTAATGTTGTCAGTAATGGGACCTTTAGCAAGATCGTTGCCCCTGGTTGTCGCGTCGGATGGGCCGAAGGAGAGCCTCAGTTAGTCTACGGCTTGTCGCAAGTGTAAGACATTCTTCCTACCAACGATGACTGCCCTCTTGGCTAAACAGGAACCACATAGAGGCTCTACAGTGTCAGGCGGCCCTCCATCTCAACTCATGTCGACCTTCATTGATGAAATGCTACAAGATGGTTCTGTCACGAAGCATATAAGAGAGATGCTGATCCCAACATACTGTCGCCGACACTCCACTATGGTGTCGGCGGTCAAGGAGAGACTGTATTCCCTTGGAGTCGAGATACATACGGATGCAAGCGATGCATTGCATGCTGGAGGCTTTTTTGTGTGGATCAGATTACCCCAGGCACTCACTGCTCGCGATGTCACTGAAAGAGCACTGCGGGAGGAGAATCTGATCGTCGGCAATGGTGACATTTTTGTCGTCCCTGGGGATCATTCCTCATTGTCTCAAGATCAATGTTTGAGACTTTGCTTCGCGTGGGAGGACGAAAGGGACTTGACCGAGGGAGTCAGGCGGTTGGAGAAGGTGCTGGTCAGGATGCTCAACGAGGTAAAGAGGTAAATACCGCCGATAGTTCGCTGACCTCTATGTACATTGTGGTCCGTTCAATCCCCATCGTGTTCCTCAGAAGCCATGCGTATAAATGGTGCTGATGTAGTCATCGCTCGTCCACCTCACTTAAGCAACAATGATCATATTTCTTGAGGCGTGGAAGGCGAGCAGCCAACCGCTGCGGAGCTCCTCTGTAAACCGATGCCGTTTCCGAGAATATCAAGTCCCTGACATCAGCGAATACAACCTTGTCTTCAATAAGCCCCCGAATGCAAGTCAGCCCTGTGGCAGTCATGAACTTACGGGGATTTGCTCCAAGATCGCACTCATGGTGTCTGCGTTCACATAGGCCCTTGGATATACGTATGGCTCACAACGAGGATCCACGTCAAGCTCTTCGATACAATGACCTTGGATCCGTGGAATGTATTTCGAGCGGAAGTCCACGAATAGATGGAGCCATCGTAGTCTAGGAAACGCCAGACCATTTAAAATCTTATTCCAATCGTCATTTTCATCCATGACCGTATGAAGACGTGCCCTTTCTACGAAATTGGCGTAAAACTGGCGACGATCTGGTGTAATGGACCGGAATTGACATGCGAGATTATGCCACCGCAAGGGCGGATCGAGATCTTTCCACAGGATGCGCATCACTTCGTAATACCAGCTTTTATTGACTAGACCACAACACAGAAGAGTATATTCTCTTGAACATGATATCTCTTTGTCGCGCTTCGCGTCGTAGAAGCTGTCGTGGTTGCATGGCTCTTCCCCTACCCACGCGATGATAGAACAGAGGATTTCGGGGAGAAGCAGGGCGTGCTGGGAGGCTGTCATAGTGAACCGATAGCTAGTATTGATACTTGACCTTTGAAAGTGCCTAATATATCACCATGAATAGCTAGGGCTAGTCTCAGTCATTCATTGATCTTTATATCTATAGCGTAGGCTTTGTGACTCATCCGCCTAATACTTCCCCGCGGTTTAGGGAGGCGCAACCAGCACTTGTCCTTAACGAGTCTGTCTACTTCGCGTCGGGGATGTATAATCAAGCAAGGAAGCTTCATTTATGATATTATGCAATGGACATATGTACAATAAAATCTCACTAGTCGTACCTCTGTTTTCAAACAATATAAACACATCTCCTGATAATGTGGAAGCCGCTAAACTCGGCGTGGAAACTCCATATTTACAACAATTTATATATTCCACGTGTTCAAGCAGAAGTATCTTTCCAGAAGACACGCCCCTCCATAATCCGACGCGCTGTTCGATAGACCGTCGCACAGCTTAAATGACCTTGGGCATCAAAATCCGCGCTGACCAGCAGATTGCCACTTGCATGGCCTAAAGTAATGCCAGCAGGATCGACTGGCTTGTCGCTCGCCACGTCGGCCACAACAGTGCCGGACACTCTGGCAGCCGTCGCAAGAGCCAAAGCGACGGTGATGGGAACGGCTTTATGCGGTTGGCCGACGGAGAGAGCGCGAACCACCAAATCAACATCATTTGACGTCTGCATCATTCCGGAAGTATACGAATCTGACGGTGACGATACAAGGCAGATCTTGGGAACACTCCCAGGCACCTCCTTCGGTCTCTCAGCCAGTCCCATCTTCACGCCAGCTTGCCGACGGATAGAGTCCAACTGTTGGAGTATAGTAGGATGTGCGTCGATCTCGTCCGGTGCCAGATTCCCTGGAACTCCCAGGTCAGAAGCACGCACAAAAACGCATGGATTGCCCACATCAACACATGATGCGGGAACGTCGTCAAAGCAATCGACAACCTGCCCAGTTGGCAGCAATGTACCCGTCCTGGAGCCTGCAGGGTCAATGAAATCGAGCCGTATTCGAGCGCCTGTTCCGGCCACGCCGTCGATCGCAAAATTACCAGCTGCTGCTGCCTCCCCGTCCACTACAGGGAACGTAGAGCGGATGACCTTTCCCGTGTTGGTATTGAAAATTCGGACAGAGACAGCGTCATTGGCGTCGCCAGCCACAGGGAAGAGACCAGTATCGACTGCATATGGTCCAACCGCACTGATCATATTCCCACAGTTGCTGGAATAATCGACATCCATGTTCTTCACCCCTAGCGAAACAAAGGTGTAATCGACATCAGCATCCGGCCGGTCGGATTTGCTGACCACGCACACCTTGGACAGACTAGAGATGCCACCCCCCATTCCATCTAGTTGACGTCCATATGGATCGGGACTGCCGATGGTACCGCGGACGATGTCATCCCACTGCTGTTGGTCCGACGGGAGATCCTCTTTTCGGAAGAAGATGGCACGCGACGTCCCCCCGCGGTAATACGCTGCTGGAATGCTGTTTTGCCTTTTGGATAATGGAGCTGTGCTAGATATGGAATGTCGATATATTTTTACATTCTGGTGGAGTAGTTTAGAAAAGTGAATGAGCTGCCCGAGGCGTCTAAACAGCATCATAAACCACATGCAAAGGGCTCTTCAATCCTCGTCAAAGACATGAAATATTTATTGGATAGCCGATCAAAGATGAGTAGTGGAGCAAATATCTGGATAGAGTGTTTGATCTCCAACGGCTGTAGCAAATAAATAGTGGAAGTTGCAGGAGAAGGGCTGGTCCAAATTGAAAAGACGTTGATGAGGCGGGAATCCTCCGATCTCGGCACTTTCCTATTTTGTGTATTTGCCGATGGGTTACACTGGTCTTACAGACATCTAGAGTGTTATATGCAAGTTTTGTTCTTTTTCGTAGAACAATCCCGTTGCCTCGGCAGGATATCTATATTCAGGACAAGACGTAAACAAGGACCTAAAGGCATGCTGCAGGATAGCTAAGAATCGGCCCCATGTCACTCTATCCTTGGATAGATCCACACGCGCTGGCCCTGCTGGACCTGCATCCTGGCCATACTCATCGTACCTTTCTTCTTCTTACTCGTCAAATTCATCGTAGTCCTCTTCATAAGCAAAATGAGCCTCTTTGCTAGAAGGGACATTCCACATCGACGATTGCTGCTCTGACCGCCGTTGAGCAGGTGCCCGAGGTCTATTGGAGTGTACACCCTGACCAAACAGTCGATCGTACGATGATGGGTCTGCTCCTATCTACGGTCCAATGGACTGATTCGCTTTCTCTCCATGCAGCTGTTAGTGAGGCTGTTGGAGATGAAGCGCTGTGACCTGATTTATCGGCGACGGGGACTTTGTCAAAGGTCTCGAGAACCACGACTTGACGTGTCCATGCGATTTGCTGTACCA